ATTAAATTTTGTTTGATTAAAACCCTGCTAACATGAAAGTACTCAAGAATCATTTGAGGCACATAATGCTTTATGAGTTCAAGAAAGGAAACTCAGCAGCCGAAGCAGCTAGAAACATTCACTCAGTTTATGGAGAGGAATGTGTGAATGAAAGAACTTGCAGATGGTTTGCAAAATTCAGAGGTGGAGATTTCACCCTTGAAGATGAAGATCGAACTGGACATCCGGTTGAGTTTGATGAAAAGCTTCTTGAAGCAGACCTTGAAGAAAATCCTGCTTTATCAGTTGAAGAATTGGCAGTGGTTCTCAGTTCAAACCATACAAATGTTCATCGTCATCTTCAACAACTTGGAAAAGTTCATAAACTTGGAAAATGGGTGCCTCATGAATTGTCTGAAAACAACCTCAAATCCCGAGTTGACATCTGCTCTTCTCTCCATTCTCGCCAAATTGTTTCACCTTTTTTGGATAGACTTGTGACGAAAAATGGATCTTTTAGCGAAATGTTAAGCATCATAGACAGTGGCTTGGTAAAGGGGAAGGACCCCAGTCACAGCCGAGAAGGGAATTTCATGGGCAAAAGGTTCTTTTTTCAATCTGGTGGGTTTGCCAAGGAATAATCCACTTTGAATTTTTACCACCTAATGCAACAATTAATGCTCAAATATACTGTCAGCAATTAGAGCGTTTGAACCAAGCTTTGAGGAAAAGAAAAGACCTGCTCTAGTGAATCGAAAAGAGGTGATGTTTCATCAGAACAATGCGCGACCACACACAGCAAGAATCACATCACAAAAGATCGAAAAACTTGGTTGGAAGAAAATTCCTCATCCACCTGATCTTGCTCCTTCAGACTACCATGTTTCGTAGCTTACAGAATCATTTGGAAGAAACAACTTTTGTAACACAGGAAGAGGTTAAAACTGACATTTGTGAGTTCTTCGAATCAAAGCCAAAAGAATTTTACAGTAATGGAATTAGTAAGCTTGTTAATAGATGGAAGGAAGTCATAGATAATCAGGGAAAATACATTGTTGATCGAATCTATAATTAAATGTAACATTTGGTCACTTGTTTTCTTTATCCAAAATTCGGACAGAACTTATGGGATGACCTGATAGAATAGATTGTGTTGTTTCCATAGCATTTCAGACAAAGAATGAGTTCAATAGTCCAAAGAACTCTTGGAATAATGATGACTTGGCATTTCTACAGAAACACACCTTTTTAACACACTGACTCCTATGTGTCATTTCCTTTGTTGCCCCAGGGTCCAAACATGATATCCTAATTAATTTTGGTACAAGCAACTAACACTGTTTCATATATTAGGCTTGGATATCATAGTATTTATTACCCACAACCCACCGGTGTTTTGTTTGGTACCCGAGTCCATTTTACAACCTAGAATTGCACAGAACCCACCTGTGGGTTGTTGGAAAATTCTCATCATACAAGTATTACACTGACACAAACACTCATTTTCTATATTAAAAAATGTTTAAATCTCTTTGGAAAAAAAAATGCGGTTCTGGCCTACCATGATCCCATAAACAATCAATCATAGCATCCCACTCCCAATAATCCTTATAAAAAAGAAATTAAAAAAAAACCCACCGGAGGGTTGTGTGGGCCTTGCAGACATACCACCACAACCCAGCTGTGTGTCATGTGGGAGCCAACATGTTAAGAAATAATAATTTAAATTCCCCCCCACCATTTCTATTGTTTAAGCTCTTCAGATTGCAAATGTAAAAAGAAAAACAAAAATAATAATAGGGGGTTCAGTTTGCTATGTAAATTCATTGTAAATTGATCCCCCTATACAAACCAAAAGAAGTAAAAAGTTAAGGGAAATAATAATAATAATAATAATAATAATAATAAAGGGAAGAGTAAAGAACCCCAAAAAAACCTTTAAGTTCACATTTCATGGCTGTTTTGAAATTATTTGAAATTTTGTATTTAAGTATTATTTTAACACAACACAGGAAAAAGGTATGTAAAAATATCCGTTTGTAATAATTAAATGTATCCTCAACAATACAAAGCTGCTGTAGGCCGATAGAATGAGACACCATAGAGCTTCTTGCAAGTTTGGTTGGAGATTACTGGCGGTTCTGCAAAAGTGCGTTGAATCCTTCCTCTCTTCAATCAGTTTGAAGGATTATCTGCTGTTAATAAATTCTCTTCCAATTTTATTCTTGACTCTTCAGGAGTATCTTTTCATGATTTTCCCCATAGAACAGAATCTCTACTCAGTGATATGAACATAACTCTATCCATAGTTTCTGCTATCATTACCAAACTAGATACTCCAAAGGCTTGCAGACTTGACAGTATCCCTGCAATTCTTGAAAGGAAATATGCTCCTGTTCTCTCCATACCCTGCAGGGTGTCCCTAAAGTCTAGATAGATAGGAAATCTCATTAACTATATATATATATATTTTTGCCTCTGCAGATTAAACATGGTTTTGTCAAAAGAAGAAAGAACTGAC